CCCGAGGGAATCCGAAACGTCAGGCAAATAAAACTCTTGTTCTAGTGATCGCTTCTTCTTCTGATAAAACTGGCCATTTATATCCCTGCAATTGTCTTGGCCTAATGACGATTTTCTGAAAACATGTGCTTGCCAATATGACTTCTCAGTCGTAAAATGGGAACATTTACAGAATTTCTCTGTAGAAGCCATTGCTTGATAGGAGTAAGTTTTACCACATATTTGTAGTCAACTTTAAACTTTAGTTTTTAGTCCGCTTCAATTCGGTGAGGCAAGATGCGAGCATGTATGTGATTGCCCCAAATTCAGGTAATTTTCACAATTCTACTCCAAATAATAATCTCTATGGATCATCCTCTTCATTAACACCCTCAATTGCCAGCCATTTACACACAAGTAGGATGTAAACTCAGAAGAAAAAAGAGCGTTAATCGGGAGAAGTTTATTTGATATCTGACTTTTCGGATAGGCGTTACGTCTACTCATTTTCAGGGAGTGAATACTCTGGCTCCTGGGTCTTGCTATATGCCGTTCTTTCTTCCGCGTGCGTAGTTTCCAAATCCCATATGAGTCTCTGTGTGTGTCTCACTTCTCGCTTCTCGCTGCGGATCATCTCGTTGACCCTGCCTGTAGCTCGGGCGCCAGTCTAAAGAGGAAGTTAAAGGGGACACCAATGGGTTCACCGGTTTCGGGACTCATAGCCAAGGCGGTCCTACAACGGCTGGCGTCGCTGATCTTCCAATACCACAGACCAAAATTCTGGGCGCGGTATGTGGATGACACCTTCGCCGTTATCGAACGGGATCAGATGCTCACGTTTAAGGAACGTCTCAACAGCGGCTTGCCGGACGTCCAATTTACGATTTAGGAAGAAGACAATAACCAACTGGCCTTTCTGGATTTCCTCGTCTGTCGCAAAGATTGTGGTGGCCTGAAGACTAAAGTATTCAGGAAAGCGACAAACACGATGCAAGTACTGAATTACAACAGCAACCATCCAACCAGCCACAAAGGCAGTTGCGTAAGGACGCTCTTTCGGCGTGTTGAGACGCACTGCAGCGAACCAGAAGATAAAGTTGCTGAGGTAAAATACCCTTGATGAATATTTAGAAAAAAAGGACTACCAGCGCTACTTGGTTAACCAGTGCCTACGCAAAAGAGATGGCCAACAAAGTCACACCGACCCCGTACGTCAAAAAAGTCTTGGAGACTATTGGCCGCCTTCTCGCACCGCTTGAGTTGGAGTCACACACAGACTTGAAGCAACTATATAATGAAACTGAAAGACCCTTTGACACGGCAAGAAACATCTTGAGTCGTCTACAGGATCTAGTGCAGTTGCGAACAAAGCAGTTATTTCGGAGAAACAAGCAGGCTTCTCAAGACGCGAATTGCCGAACACGCGGGAGCTGTGCAGCAAAATAATGCCAATTCTCAAGTTGCGGCTCATTGACGAGACCCGGCCACACATTTAAGTTTGATGAGGCCAAAATTCTCGCAAGAGGTGACAATCGGGTGAGCCGAGGCGCACTTTAGCCATGGTTCACGGGCTCCCAATCCA